CTCTGACGTTAGCAACGAGCGATATATTTCATGTAACTGCTTATTTACATCCGTCGTTGCCGTGATTTTTAATAACTTACCTCGGGAACAAGCTTATTTACGTGCGATTTTGATTTTATTTGTTACTCACTGGAAACGCCGCAATGGCGAAATGGTGCTTTTTCAACATTAGCAGAATATCAACCACGACTAGCGCGTATTTGTAACGCAGTTTATGACTGCGAGTTACTGAAGTCAAAGAAGTGAAGGAAACTGCTGTTGGATTTTAGTCCAACTAAAATCAGGAGACGAGATGCAGCATTTATGTTAAACAAATGAAATAAATAAGGACTAGTGAATAAAAGTGAGGAAAATACATTTAAAAAGTTGATGTTACTTGACTCATGGTTATAAAATCAGTCATGGGATGTACTTAGTTTTTCAAAAACAAAAATGTCCTTTTTCACTTTCACAACAGTAACTAATCTCAAAGCAGAATCTGTGTTCTTGATCATAGATAAAAATAATTTTGACACTTGGTGAAGTACCTAAAAATACTAATACAGGGTGTATTTTTTTAATTTCCTTATTTCCGTATAAATCCTGAAACGTCAGTGCGCCAAACGTTTTCTCTGGAAACATCTTTGCCAACGTCGTGTTATGACAAGCCCTCACACAACCAGCATTTTTTGGGAAGGAGATCTTGCACTTTTCACAGTAGAGCACTTTCACTCTCGCCACACGCTTCAGCAGCTGAACCCATTACTGCTGGTGAGTACGAAAAACTTTAGCTTTTACCCAGGTTTTATTGATGCATGTGGTTTTTTTCTGAAGTTTGAACTAGATGTGTTGCATTCATTTCATTTAAAAAAAAATAAAAGAAGAAAAGCTGAATTAAAGCGAGCTCTTAAATATTCGTCAGAAAAATAGATGAAGATGTTGATATACTGCAAAATCTTACCAAGTATTTTTGATCTACTACCTCATTAAACTTGAATTATGATTAAACTCAGTTACAAACAACTTTTAAACTAGAAATATGAGGCTGTTTTAAGTCAATACGTCCTTAATTTAAATAAAAAGATTCTAGTGTAAGTGAAATAATGATTAAAGACATTTGAACTTATAATATGGGAAAATGTTGTGTTCCACGGGCAAATTATTTTGCCTATAACTAATCATTTTCATCAATATGAGCAATTATTGACTTAAAATAAGCTACTGTTTATTGATGAAAGGTTACTTGTAAGTCATTTTTGTCTTCTCTCAAAAGTACTAAGATATTTGCACTAGAAACTAAAGCAGATATACTTGGTAAGATTTTGTGGTTTTGCAGTGAACATACAGGAAATTACAGTTTTACCCCCATGATACTTGTTTTGTATTCTGTTGTGCAACTTTTAA